TAAATATATGCATTGTTTCATGTATGTATCGAGAGTTATAGGAATGTTTTACATTGTGGTCGTGTTCAAAGTTGATATTATTGTGTTCGCTTTTCCTGTTTTATTAATAATGCTTCTATGATTTTCAGCCTTTTTTTTGCATATGGATGATGCTATTATATTTGTATCATCAACGAGTATGTTACAGATAGTGTTTGTTAGGTTTCTATGTGTATTTAAATGAGACCTAAATGAGTGATGTATCATGAGTCTTCTTGTATCATGAGTCTTCTTGTCGCCATATATATTACAACGTTTCGGCCGTTGTACGCTCCGGCCTTCAACTGAACCCTGGACTGAAATGAACCCTTTATTTTGCTCACTGTTTAATGGATGTCAAGCATCATTTATCTCCCCTCTCACTGCCTTAACCGGGTATTGAACTCACACTCTTTGGGTCATGTCACTGGATCTAACTAACGCCTTTATCCACTGTTCTATGTGTCCTGTGTATGAATTTCTGGATATTATAAACCTAATGTCTTCAGCAACTATTTTTTACCAGTGTTCATATTGCAATTTTTGCTGTTATCATTTCATTTTTTTATCAGATCTCATATTGCAATTTTTGTTGTTATTATCGCTAATCTCTGGCATTCCTTATTAGTGGTTCCCATATTGTATTCATTTCAACGCAATACAAACCATAATATCACATATTCACAAAGCTCCTACTAAAAAAAAATCATACCATGGAAATATATACACTTATTTTTTTAATTTTTAATTTTTTAACATTAAAATATTTAAAATTATGACATGAAAGGCGTTGCTTAGGGGATGTGCCCAATAACAAAATTAAAATATGTTAGTAGGACTCGTCCACCCCTCAGGAAAATAAGAGAGCCCAATTTATTCTGCCGCTAAGGAGAATCAATCACCTCATTCGCTAGGAACAAGGAAGAGACAAAATCAATTAGGGAGTAGATAATTATCAAAGGCTGATCCAAACAAGGTATAAAGAGGGTGGAAACAAAAACAAACTGGTGATTTTTAGAATCTTGAAACGCATAATAACAATAGAGAATGCCGAGTATACAAATGTGCCTAGCTTAACCTGGAGAGGTATCCAACAAGAAACCGTCCCATTGTGTCAAAAGATGATTAAAAAAGAAAATCAAGACTGGTCTCGTTCACACAAACTAAGTTCGCCGCTTTTACACAATTTTTGTTGAAATCTGCTGATAACAAACGGTTTCTGCCAGTTCTGATCTTCCTGTTGAGCTGATGCTGAAAGAATCCAAGCAGATGCTGATGAGAATAACGTTCATATCGTGAGATTCTTTCCATCCGTGTCGACCACACCACCATCTTTGTCACGGCTTGCAACGTCAGAAACAGCATACGTCTCACCACAGAACACAGGGGCGACATATTATCGCACGCGGGTGCGAGATCAATGTTGATGTTCGAGGTCAAGAGGTTCGGGATCAATATTTTCGGGATCGATACGAACCGTCTACTCGCCGACATGATCCTAGAAGTGGCGCAAGGTCACACCAAAGACAGTCGGGTATATCTACCCAACCCGCTTTGAAGCCCATGTCACTGAGAGATAACGCATTCCGATTCAATCGCGAGGTAAGCGAAAACTCAGGTAATTCCCCGCTGGTGCCCAGGACCAGAAAGCGCGCACCTCGGTCACCGACAAGCTGATATACGCACAGAGTAGGTTCGACGCGACACTTATTCCCGATACAATGTTCTCCTAGGTCGTGAAGGTTCACTGAACCGCAGAGTAGCACCTAAGGTCTTTCAATACTCATGGAAGAATTGAGATTGTTCCCAGGGCTTATGGTGGCATTCAGCCTCAAAAATTGGAGGAGTGATGCTAAGTCTAGGGAAGGAAGCCCTAACACTCCTCGTCCAAAATAAATCTTCTGTCAACGCTTGTCGTAAGAAAACCAAACTCGAGTCGTGTTGATGACATTCCAAGTGTGGCATTACCAGCCCTTACCACCCATAACACAGATGTTGGAGACAGGCTTCTCTGCAGACCTACGGTTTGCGTCTAACCCACAAGAGGAAAAACTCCAAGCGATCGAACTCCTTCCTACAGCGTGTGAGTAATGACGGCCTACTCTTTAAGGACAACCGCTTTTCGGAGTTCGACCTTTGTCAGTACCTCCGACCAATTGTTCTTCAGCTGGAGATACAGCCCGAACCGCACTCCAAGAATGCGAATGAGAATGTCAGAACATCTGAAGGGCCCCGGAAGAGCAACGCCCTTCTTCCAAGTACTTCACCACAAGCCGGAAGACTTGTCGCGGTTAATCTTGGCCGCCTCACCTTCTCATAGCGTTCTAGTGCCTTCTTCCCCATTTCAATGTCGCTGCGGAACCTGAAAATACCACATAGGGCCGGTCTGTAGGCTTTGTCCATCAGCCGGTAAAGAGGAGGCTCCAATGCCAAAGCGTAAATTAGATACGACAGCGGGCAACACAGACGAACCGAACATGACAGCGCAAATCACTCGACCGCTACCCGTTCACCTGCAGCACAGCACTGGGGGAACGATACAGCAGGCTGATTCACTTGCAAAAGTCGGGTTTCAATCCGGTGCTCTATCAGGCACTGGTGTTCGACTCTATAAAACGCCCTGGGCTGATCCAACGTAGTCTTTTCGGATCGTGCGAATCAGCTGCAGTTTGCTCTTAATCCTTCGGCCCCTCACAGTTCAAGTTTATTCCGTTCCCAACAGAATGTCAGAAATTGACTGCCAACGCGCCGTCGGGATCTTAGCAAAAATGTTTTACTCAGTGTTTAGCAGAATTATGGACCTGCAATAGTCTAAATGGCCCCTGTCATGCTTGGCCTTTCTCAAACATCCGGTTGGAGACAGACCCCTCCCGGAAGCAGTTGGTGAAGACCACTGTCAAAATCAAGTACAATATAATTGTTTCGTCAACAGGGACATTTGAAATTATATTTTCTACGTCAAGTGATGCTAGAGTTCGTAGGTTTCGTAGTTTGAAGGATTTGAAGGAATTTATGATTGATTTGCTGATGTAATTTGTAGGTAGATATGGGGCAAAAATATCAATGAAAAATGTTGACAGCTAGTATATAGGAGAAAGGATAGGTCGTAATGGGTATCCGGGTGTGTGTATTTTAGCATTACCGTATTTAAGGTATACTGGTTGGTAATCTCTTTTAATTTTATTGATTTTCAAGTATCCTACACCAGCATTAAAAGATGTTATCAGTTTGTTAACAGATTTTTTCGAGAGTTTCAGTGGTATTTTTATTTAATTTTGTCAATTTAGATCGACCATCGATGAAGTGCTGCAATTTATTGTAATAATCCAATTTGTCCACAGTTACGTAGTACTGGATTTCTCAGATCTTCTGATGACAATATTAGGAATTGTTTTTTGATTCCTTTGAGGCGGAATTGGGTTTTGTTCTTGGAATTTTATTGTAGCTCTTGTGAGAATTATGACCTTTTAGATCTGCTTTGAGAAGATCTCTGAAGTTTGGATGGAGTTTTATTAATTTGTCATTTTCCAGTTGGGATAATGATTCGTATAAAATTTCGATTTCAGTCTTCTTTTTCAGGAGTTCAGATTTAGGCTGGTAATGATAATTTGGTACTAGATTTAGGAATTCTTTCTAGTCATCTGTTAGTTTATGACTGGATTGTGTTGTATAACGTGGCAATAAAATCAGTATACAGTTACTATAAAAAAATTAAAATCATTGAAGCATCGAATCAGTAATAAATTTACTATTGTTTACCATAGAATTTTATTAACCAGAATTAACGAGCACCGTTTTAATAATAATTTTTTTTACTTGGACTGCAGATTAATTACTTTGTCTTAACTGTTATTTTAATTAACCGTATAGGGCTTCATTGCCACCATGAATAATTATTACTGTTGCTGGGAATTAGAATATATCCTTGGTATATTGATTTTCCAAGCGTACGGGGCATCCAGTGAAGATCGAACTCACTACTCAGTCGTAATTGTTCGAGCAAGACAAGCTTGCTAACCATTACACCACCTGGAGGTGCCCATATCTCCTTGGTATAAGTTGCAAAGCTTTTTCGTAATTGGCTGTATTTATGTTCATCATTATTAATACTTAGGTTGATATGGATTTATGTTTCCGATGATTAAGAGGGTTAGCCAATTTTTGTCCTTGGCCCGAGTGTACGCGCTCGGGTTCACTATGTTATAACCAACCCTGGGTCACATCTCGTCTCCTAGGGGAGACAGGAGTAAATAACCATACTTGCCTGGAACACGCCGGGCAGGGTTATCATCTTCCAGCTGAAACTCTGTCTTCGGACAGAGTGCAGTTTAGTGTTGTCTCTGTAAGCGGACATCACATCTTAGTGGGGAGACGCGGTAAATATCTAAATACCTACATTTTATAATCCCTGCTTTATTCCCAACGAAAACAGGAAGAAAGGACTTGGTATCACGTCTTAGAGGACAGAAAGAAAGTTTCTTAGCAGTAAGGTCAACTAAAGATGCGATCTACCAATGAGAGACATCAAAGTCAATCAAGTACAAAAAATAAATTGGAAATTTATAATAAATTGGAATCGCGAATAATGCTTTCCAAAGGTTAAGCAATATATTAGGAAAGAAGAAAATTCTCCGTAAACACAAAGAATAGCGCGGAAATGTAAAACCGTACCTTGTCTATGACAGTGAATGCTGGACAATTTTTTCAAAGTGGAGAGGGGGATCAAAAGGTCTCTGATACAAAAAAAAAAGAATACTATGGACGGAAAATGTGAGCAAAGAAGATGAAGCAAAAAAAAAAAAATATAATCAAAAAGAGACAGTTAAAATTTCTAGGACGATTAATGAGAAAGGAAGGCTTGGATAATATGACACTCACAGAATATGGGGTAAGCAAGGTGGAAGAATAAAACAGAATGTAATCTACTTAACAAACTTGTGTAAATTGATTGGTTGATTTTGTTTAGCAGGATATCAACCTCTATGGCAGGCGTCACCAAACTACGGCTCGCGGGAAGGAACCGGCAGCCAATGTCAGTTCATCCGGCCTGGTGTTTCACTGTGCCACGAATGAGCTAAAATATAATTATTTATATGGAATTATCAATAGAGTGTAGTTAAAATTAATATGTAGAAAAATAAATGTAAGTAAAATGCCAAAATTTGGCCAATCTTATTTTTACTTCTGACATTAATAAAGTTTTAGGAAAATCAGTGAAATAAAAATGTCGGCAACTTTTTGCAACTTTTGATATCCGAGCGTTTTTGTGTAAGTGCCTGCAATGAAGTTTCTAAGAAAAGCGATTACGAGCTTGCTGCAGCAATTATATCTTAACTTGCACTACTGTGTTTAAACCGGTTTGTAGAGCTATCTAGATATGAAGACCATCAACTGGAAAAAGGAAAGCAAACCGCACAAGGACAAATATGCAAGTTGGATGAATCCTTGATTGCCTTAGTCTAATAGTCAAATAGTAAAAGAAACTATCATTGATGAATATAGAACTATATTGGTGGATCTGATATCGTGATCAGATTGTTGGATTCTTCATGTAAATTGTCAATAATTGTCAAAACAGAACAGGGCTAAGCAGATTAATGTCTGCGGTGTGTGTAGACGATAATAAAAAACATAACTTATAAGTAAAGTACATTAAAGATTACATATATATATATATATATATATATATATATATATATATATATATATATATATATATATATAATAATAATAATAATAATAATCAGAAGACGGAGATTTTAATTGTCCATTTCGTTTATAATTTTTACTTATTATTTACCGGGATGTTAATCTCATCAGGAGAAAAATCTTCGCCCATTCGCGGAGTAGGTTTTCGTTCTGCTGAGATAAACTTCACGGTATTCACGAAATAAAAAAAATTAAACGAAATGAATAATTAAAGTCTCCGTCTTCTTTTTATCATTACAATGCTCTGTAATCTACATTGAGCTCTCCTTGGATTTATGCCCAGGGAATTATCCATTCCAGTCAAAACTCTTAATATATATATATATATATATATATATATATATATATATATATATATATATATATATATGTACAAAGCTAGAAACCTCCATTCCACTTCCATTCCCTCCGTATTCCATCGGCGAGAAGTAAGTCAAACATCTTCTTCCCGGAAACAATTAACTTACAATTTTAAACTGTTCAAGTCTAGAATCAACAGTTATCTTCCCATCCGGTCCATATAAAATACCCCTTACCGTCGTCACACTCTACCTCCAGTAGCACCCAGGCTTTGTACAGTGTGAGCCATATATATATATATATATATATATATAGCTTTGAGAATGACGCAACGCATTCATTTAAAGGAATATTTTCCGTCCTACACTTTTTTCAGAAAGATTCGTTGGAACAACAATACATACATATATATATATATATATATATATATATATATATATATATATATATATATATATATATATATATATATTCAGCTAAACATCAAACACACTTGATAATGCCTAAAAGAATAGCCGAAAGCGCTCGGATATGCAGAATATTTGTCCAGTGGGATTGATGCCCGAATAAAAATATATATATATATATATATATATATATATATATATATATATATATATATATGTGTGTGTGTGTGTGTGTGTGTGTGTGTGTGTGTGTGTGTGTGTGTGTGTGATTATTGTATCAAGATAAATGCTGAAGATTATTACAATTTCTTGGAGAAGAAGAAGAAGAAGAAGAAGAAGAAGAAGAAGAAGAAGAAGAAGAAAAGGAACGGTAAAAGAGAAATGAAAGCTAGAGAAAAAATGCTTTAATGGGAGGATAAAGGCGGGAAGGAAAAGAAAAAAAAGATATTATGCGCCAAGGAAACACACCTGTCTGTTATTTATTTCAAAGTCAAAAAGCATTAATTCGCTTCTGACGTCAACAAATTCCACAGTTCAATGTTTTCTGTTTCGACACCTCACCCCCTAATTTCCCGCCTAAAATGGCTGCCTATCTTAATGGGTGAAATGGGTGCGCAAAATAGTTTTTTTTTTCTCTATCTTCAGACGAGTTTAATTTCCAGCCGCCAGCTCTCTAATTTCCTGCAGCACGTTTACAATCATTTTTTTTCTTTTCAGTCCCCCCCTTTTTTATTCATTTATTTATATCGTCACTGTCTTTCTTTCGCTTTTTGGCAGTTCTTTGCAATACTTATTATTATTATTATTATTATTATTATTTCAATTTCTGCTATGGTCACACTACATATCAAGTCTGCGTGAGGACCTAATGCAGGTGTGTTGCTATGGCTACATTTCATTATTTGTTTCTCCATCTTCCATAACATCACTAGCGTTACATGGACAAAATTCCTCTTAGTGTGTGGGCTGTACTTATGAAGACAATTTTTGTATTTCACTTAAGCTACGATTTCCAGGGATTTTTTCCAATGTATTGTGTTCCGTTTTTATCATTTCCAGCGCACCCACTATGACTTATACTATTCTTGCTTTCAAGTTTCACAATTATTCTATTTCGATTTCCAGGTCTTTCTACTTAGTATTTCAAACCCCTTGGTTGCTATGTTAGAGTCCGCTTTGTAAGCCGTATCATTTTTTTTCTTTTCGGTTTTTGACAGTTATGAGGGGCCGATTTTCTTTAATCTTTCTGTCTGTAAAGATGGTGTAATCCCATAGAATGGGGATGTCTTCTATTTCTGCAACCGGTGCAGGGTGATGTTCATACCAGTGTTTGTTAATAACTTTTTCCAAAGTATTTGCACATTGTCTAGTTGTAAATATTGTCCAACTATATCAAGAACAATTTCTGTATTCATTTGGCGCAAGTACAAAACATCCTCAGATCAGACGGTTCCTGGTATTTGTCACAGATCCTGCATTCTGGATCCACACTATTATGTATGCTAATGGCTTGAAATTTCCTAATGAAAAACTCTAGCTTTGTGCTGCAAGAATAAAGCCTTCTTTTTCAGCCTTTTATCCGATGGGTGTTAACTTTATCAACATTTGCTTTGTTAGCACGTTCTCAATATTGGCCGTACAGCGGTTTGTCTTGCCTGCGTTTTTCAATCTGTTCAAAAGCCTTATACTTGGCTTACTTTTACATATTTTTGCAGCAACAGTTGGTTCTTGGGTTCTATTTTAGTTTTCTACAGAATCTACTACATGTAAATCTCGTTTGTATTAACAACGTTCTTTCATGATTGAATATTTTTCTTTCTGTTTTTGTATTGTTTGACTAATTGTATCACCCAGTCTTTTGTCGCTTCCATGTGTGTTAGCAAGCCAATAATTGTTGTTTTGCCGGAATAAGGCCTCTTTCACCTTCTTTACGGGGTATGTATAGATCAGCGTTTCTCAACCATTATACCCTTGCGTAACCCTTAAAATAAATTACATGTCTCAAGGAACCCCTTCCGCAAAAAACAAAATTATATACCATATCTTTCTTATTTTATTTTCATCGTAGTTCACGTGGTAAATATCATAGTATATATTTTGGAATAACTGGCTTCAGGAAAAATTAATACTTCTTTGTCAAATATTTCGGTAATGCTAAAGAAATTTCATTGTGTTCATTTATAATACTTCATCAAGGATTTTTCATTCAAACACAAAAAATTCTAAACTCAAACGTAAAAGATAAAGATAAATAACCAATATCATATAACTATAATATAAATGTAAACAGAACGAAAACGGGTATTGCTGCCTCATTTTTTAAATTTGATTATCCTTTACTGATGTTGAAAAATCAAAAGGGTATTAGCTTATCTCACCTGTTCTCGCCGAACCCTTGGGTACCCTTTGCAGTAACTTAGGTTTTCCGGGGAACCCCGGTTGAGAAACGCTGGTATAGATGGTCTACATTAGTCCCTGGATATATTTAGAAAGGAGATTTCTTGCTTTTGGATACACTCTTCTGGTGTCATTTAGAGTCCAGTTCAAGATGTTGAAACCATATTGAATCACTGGAATGACGAGTATATTAAGGGCCATAGATCCGGTTCCATAATATAGCCTTAAGGCCTTTTAAGAGAACTGTCATTGAACTGATATCACTTTTGTTAGTATATAGAAGGTCCTTAATAGGGCGATCCTCTGGGTAACTTGTATGTTAATGCTACCTGGGATACACTTAGTAAAACTGTCCATTCTTTTTCTCACGTGGCTCAGAGCTTCAATTACTATTGGTACTCTCTCGGTCTTCATTACATACATCCTCATAAACTTGATTTCCAGTGCCTTCTAGTTGGACAATTTCTCGATAATTTTCCTGGAGGTATTTCTCACATATAGTGGCGTTGGTGGTACTATTACTGATACTGTTACTACTACTACTAATAATACAACAACAACAACAATAATAATAATAATAATAATAATAATAATCAAGGCCAACCGGCCAGATATTGTTATTAAAGACCACAAGCAAAAACGATGCCTCCTTATTGATATGGCAGTCCCTGCTGACTGCAATGTATCTTTGAAGATATTCAAAAAGTTGTCAAAGTACAAGGACCTTGAAATAGAAATCTCGAAAATGTGGCATATGGGAACATCAACAATCCCTGTTGCAGTTGGAGCCCTAGGACTGGTTGGAAAAGATTGCAGTAGATTTAATTGAAGGGATTCCTGGAAGTCCATGCCTCAAGTAGATACAAAAAATCGTTCTGACAAGTACAGCCCACACCTTACGAAGGGCTTTATCTATGTAATTTAATTCTTTTTTTTTTGTCATTGGAAAGTGTCATGATGCCATTTCTAAGCTTAGGTCCCTGGGCAGGACCCGGAAAGAAATGTGTAAACGCCAGAAATCAAAGAAAATAATAATAATAATAATAATAATAATAATAATAATAATCTAAGTGAAATGTTTCCGTTTGGTAGAAACTTCCGTTTCTGATTCACTGACTTTTTTTTTACCTTTTATTTTTAGTGAAAGTGCATCTTTTTTCAATAATATTTTCGCTTTTTAAGATTCTAGTGTTCATTCCGTATTTTTCATTCTTCCTGCGATTTTCTTTTTCATTTTTACTTTTATTTCTTCATTTTTTTCTCTTATTTTCATTTTCCTTTCTTTTTCTTTCATTCTTTTTTTTTGTTTCTTTCTAAATATTTTGTTCCTTTCGCAGAGCAATCATTTTTCCTTTCTTTCTTTTTCTTTTTTGTTTCTTTCTTCTTCTTTCTTTCTTTTTGTTTCTTTCTTTTACTTAATATACTTTATCACACATTTCTTTTTCCTTTCTTTCCAAATGAACTGTATCATTCATTTTATTTAAATATTTGTTACTATATAGGTCTTAATATCATGGATGACACTTTTCTTTCTTCTTTCTTTCTTCTTTCTTTCTTTCTTTCTTGCACTTTTTTCTTTATTTATTAATATGATTTAGCACATTTTTTTTCTTTTTTTTCTTTCTTTCATTCATAATCCACAGTTTTCCTTTTTGAATCATTTATTTCACTTCATTTTTATTTTATTTTACGTGGATATCTTTCTTGAAGTTTCTAGCTGAACGTCCAATGACACAACGACAACTAACACAACGACAAAGACAAGGATATTAGCAAAGAAGATTATTTGACGACATTATTTCAAGTAAATGTTATGTTCCTTACTGCATTCTAATTTCTAGCTTTTTGTCGTAATCATAACAGCGTTCCTGTTTTCCCTCCCGAAGCCATTGCACCGATGACGAAGTGGTTGTTATACTGATGACATAGATATTACTTGTTATAATAATTATCTTGAATAAATAATATCGACATTCTCTGTTCAAAGAATTAGGACTTCAAATAAACCTTTCCAAAATAGAAACTATGATCTGAAATTGGAATGAGAGTCCTGAATGGCCATACCCTTGATCCATCATAAATTTCTAGATGTGGAATTAATAAATTCTAAAACAGCTCGGTGTATGAATCAGTAGGAGAAATGGATAGCGGCTCGGACTGAGAAATCGAAGAGCCGAATCAGATCCATTGCATCCACTTACGTACTATTAACCTTGGGAAAGGTATGAATCCGCTTCTTCTTTCCCCAGCTATAGGTAAATAGCAGAATAGACTGGGTTCTATAGCCTTGAAAGGCTACTGGTCTACCACAGAAGAAAATGGCAGTTTGCTGCGGGGGAAAAATCTGCCTCATCAGTCATGTATCGAAAGATATATGATCGCTTAAGCGTGTATCACACATGGTACATAACTGACTATAGCAAATTGAAAATACACCCCTTTGTAAATTAATTGAAACAAAACGAATAATTCCATTATTATTTACTTTTTTCGTGTTTTTCCAATGAGTCATGACCCAGTGCACAAGTTAGTACTTCGTATGTTCATTCCTCGAAGTCGTTCATTGCAGATAGACCACAGATTCTCATTGGATTTAAATCAGAAGAATTTCCAAGTCAATCTTTTGACAGTACTTTGATTTGCTCACTAGTAAGGCTTGGAGTAACGTCTGTCACAGGGAATGGCCTTGGGGACAACTAATCGACAGTGCAGATAATAGTGTCTGGTCGTGATAAATATCTGATGCAATCACGGATGACGCAGTATTTTTCAAGGCTTAACAAATTTCATCCTACGCCCGAAAATAGATTTATATTACTGCACACCGCTGCAAATGACCTAATCATGGGAAAACGTAGAAATTGATTACACCTGTAACTCAAGTGGGTCTAAAAATAACCGTATAAAGAAAGAACGGAAACTAAGGATGTTGTTTCAATTGATTTGCACAAGGATGTGGATGATGAGGAAATTGAACATTGGATAGGCTGTGCTAAGGGCAGGTTTGTCGCAATATTCAACAAAACCTGAATACACAGATAACTCGAATCTTGTCAGATTGACTTTTATATGAATGCCATGCATGACGTCCAACTACTTCAGCTACATACAAATTCTACTCAGATCATCTGTTAAAAAATGACTTCAGGTTAATGAATCCTCTAGTTCCAAATGAAATAAATCCTCCATCACATACTATAGACTGGGTCTAACGAATCATTAACAGCTATAACAAAAAGAATTCACTTGAAGACTTTCAATAGCAGGAACAACTCGGGAGCATCTGTAACTAGAAGAGAAAATGATTATATTTGTTTAATCAGTTCACCTGAAGCATAGAGATAATACCACTTACACAAAAAGGACTACTGGAAAGGAACGAGAATGGGAAGACTTTTAAAGGAACTGGAGACTCAATCCTAAATAGTGAACAAAGGATAAACCTCTTCACCTGTTCAACAGATTGGGGAGAAATGTGAACAGAACGATAGATGAAGCTATCTACTGAAAAAATGAATAAATAAATAATTAGTAAATAAAATTTCAGACTATAGGCGGAGACATGAGAAGTATGGGTTTGTGGTAGAATTTAGATGGAATCGAAAACCGAATCCTAAACAATGGACAAATGATGACCTTCTCCTGTTCAAAAGATTGGGAAGAAATGTGAACAGAAAGATATGTGAATCTATCTACTCCTACTGAACAAAATGAATTGTGAACAGGCATGATATGTGAATCTATCTACTCATACTGAAAAAAATGAAATGTGAACAGGCATGATATGTGAATCTAACTACTCATACTGAAAAAAAAATGAAATGTGAACAGAACGATAGGTGGATTTATCTAATCATACTAAAAAAATGAAATGTGAAGAGGACGATAGGTGAATCTATCTAATCATACTAAAAAAATGAAATGTGACCAGGCTGATATGTGAATCTATCTACTCATCATAAAAATGAAATGTGAACAGAACAATAGGTGAATCTATAAATGTGAAATGTGACCAGGCTGATATGTGAATCTATCTACTCATCATAAAAAAAAATGAACAGAACAATAGGTGAATCAGAAATCATACTGAAAAAATGAAATGGGAACATTCATGATATGTGAATCTATCTACTAAAAAATGAAATGTGAACAACAATAGGTGAATCAGAAAAATGTGACCAGGCTGATATGAATCTATCTACTCATCATAAAAATGAAATGTGAACAGAACAATAGGTGAATCTATGAAATCATACTGAAAAAATGAAATGGGAACAATCATGATATGTGAATCTATCTACTCATCATAAAAATGAAATGTGAACAGAACAATAGGTGAATCTATGAAATCATACTGAAAAAATTAAATGGGAACAGGCATGATATGTGAATCTATCTACTCATCATAAAAATGAAATGTGAACAGAACAATAGGTGAATCTATGAAATCATACTGAAAAAATGAAATGTGACCAGGCTGATATGTGAATCTATCTACTCATCATAAAAAATGAAATGAAAATGGTGAATCAGAAATCATATGAAAAATGAAATGGGAACAATCATGATATGTGAATCTATCTACTCATCATAAAAATGAAATGTGAACAACAATAGGTGAATCTATGAAATCATACTGAAAAAATGAAATGTGAATAGGCTGGTATGGGAATCTATCTAATCTAAACAAAATGAATAAATAAATAAATAGTAAATAACATTTCAGACTATAGGCGGTGATATCGGAAGTATAGATTTGTGGTAGAATTTAGAAGGAACCGGAGACCCTATCCTAAACATCCTAAATACAAATGCTGATGTTCATCACTGTATTAAACAAAACCAGTGGAAGGCCATTCCCATTAATGGTAGAGAGAACAATTTCGGTTAGTAAACTTTATGAGTTGATTTTATTGTACGAATTCCAGCCGAGAGCAAGGCTAAATATTTGAAATATTTACCAAATATTTAATTTATAAATATAAAACAACAATTGTACCATTACTAATGACAAAATAAAACCTCAAAACCTACCATACTGCACCATCTTGTCTATATGTCACACTAAATTTTTTTTTTTCAGTTGGTCTTTAAATATTTTCCTCAGCGTGTGTTGATGATTGCTAAATATGGCGGAAAGCATTTGAATTTAAGCGAGTTTCGGCGCGGGATAATAGAGAACACGCCTGGTTGATCATGACTATTGATTAATGTGATCGACTTTATTTTATAGCCCCAAAGTTGTAACTGACTTCGGCATTAAATAATTCAACACGAGTTGATCTGTCGCAAGAATCAACAAACAACTTTTATATGAGCTGTGTTGACAGTCGACGAGAGCTTGCGTTATTAATTAGGTGTGAAACTTAGAAATGCGACAAAAAAAAAATTCCAGAATATGCTACGATATGTAGTTTTTCCCTCGTGCATTTGCGCACATTTTGTCCTCAAGCAGAATATTCCTTTATATAGTTAGATCCAATGTGGCGCTGCTAATCTTCTCTGGTCTGTAACTAGAGGAGAGTTATGGAAAAATATTCATTCTCCATTTATTTCCCCCATTATGAGCATTAAAATATCCGTGACAGAAGGAGCAGAATGGCTGAAAGGAAAAAGAATGACAGCATGTTTATGCTCAGAGAGATTTCGCTTGAAGATGGAACGGAGCCCATTTTAATTTAAACTCAATTTAATTTAAAGGCTTATATTGAAGTTTTCGGCTGTTGTTTTGAAACATGAGACCTCTTATGCAGCGATTTGGAATCATATTTTTAAATAAATAATTATATTTATGCTCTACTTTTGTATCGAGCACTATTTTTAAAAAAATAATAACTAAAATACTAAGGGAATTTGGATTATTTACCTAACCAGTTCCTTCCTATTTTTTCATATATATCCTTATATATATATATATATATATATATATATATATATATATATATATATATATATATATATATATATATATATATATATATATATATATATATATATATATATATATATATATATATATATATATATATATATATATATATATATATATATATATATATATATATATATATGGAGGCAAGGTGGAATAATGGATAGGGGGTTGGATTGAGGAATTGGAGAGCTGAGTTCGAATTACATTACATTCACTTACGAGCTTGGGAAAGGTGTGAATCCTCTTCTTCTTCCTCCAGCTATGAGTAAATAGGGACAGGCTGGGTTCTATAGCCTTCGATGGCAACTGGTCAAGGAGAAGGACAACTCTGAATTCCAAACCTGCGAAGCGTCGATTGGGGACACTGTGGCACATCGTGCACCAGGTCTCTGTATTCGGACCTTCAAAAAATGAGGATGATCCTGCACGAAACCTTCACCAATATAATCAAATCCCATGTGCTGTTGTCGGGGTGTCGGTTTCGTGGGAACTGATTTGCTTGACCCTCATACGTCGAATTCCACGGGAGAGTCGAGTATATATATATATATATATATATATATATATATGTACACACACAGAAAGTGTGCGATGGGAAAATTGTCGCCATTTTATATTTTTAATTTCGCAAATGCTTGTTGTTTGTTTTTTGATTT